TATATATATATATTTATACCATATATACATATATAAAATGAAAAAGAAGAAAAATAAAGAAAAAAAGAAACGGTAAATTAATTAGAGTTTTACTCACATCGTAGCGTTCGGATCGCATGATTTTTCGTCTTTTTTGCAGGATCGACCGCGCATAAGAACGATGCGACGGGTAACGGAAGGCCGGCGCCCCTCTTGGCGGAACCCAGATACGGTGCCGCGCCCCAACCATACGGTGAGGAGTAAAGAGAGACAGAGAGACCGATAAAGGAATCGACTTGCAATCGCTGCTGACCTATCAAACGAACGAACGAAAATGACTTCGTCGTTTAGCGAGACGCATCGATCGGTGGTACCCTTTACCGAGAAACACAGCCCAACCAAACTACGCTTCGATTTCCATCGGCTTTTCCAACGTTCTCTTTTTCTCGTCTTCTTTTCTATCTTTCTCTTTTATATACATGCGTATATATATACATTTTGATTTTTTTTTTTTGCTTTCTTCAGCCTGCCCCCAGCCCCCAGCCCCTGGCTCAGCTTTCCTATCAGAGACCACCTTCCATATAAACACACCTTTTCTTATTCTTATTCTTTTTCTTATTCTTATTCTTCTTCTTCTACTATTTTCTTCTTTTATAGATCGAAGAAAAATCACTTTCCAAGATATTGCGGTAGACAGACTCGTTTACGATAATGTCGCACCAACACGCATACCTTTCTAATTATATGTCAAGTGTGCTTTTGAATATTAAAAGCGCGTTTCTTAAGCCACCTACTACTACTACTACTATTACTATTACTACTACTACTACTACTACTACTATTACTACTACTACTACTTACTAGTACTACCCGTTCCGGAAAAACTGCTCAATCTCTAAATTAAAATGCCGAACGGCGTTTCGAATCTTCTTGTGCATGTCTCTATTAAGAACACGAACACATATATAGGATCCATTATAATACATCGCGATATACATAGGCAAATATATATACACATATATATGTTATATTATATTATATTATATATTATATACAATATATGTGTGTATGTGTGTATGTGTGTGTGTATAATCATTTTCGTGGTAATTACTAGTTCGATCGACGTGGTGACACTACTCTCCTCTTACCCCCAAACCCCTCCCCCTCTCCCCAAAACCAACCAACCCACACCCCCCACGCGACGCTTACCAATTAGGTGGGAACGATGAACGTTCCTCATTCAACGGGGAAAATGGTTTAAGCGCTTGTCCTGAACGTCTAGTTAATATAGCCATCTCTCGATTTTAGGTACCTCCGGTGGTAATACTCTCTACCCCCCCCCCCCATTCTAAGCTCTTGATTATTAAACACTTTAAGATAACATGGCATCGAGAAGTCGATCGATCACTTTGAATTATCATACAAATCTCTCTTCTCTTTAAGTCACATGTCACACCACTTTGTTCATTTTGTTCTTTTTTTTGTTATTTTTTGTTTTTACACACGACTTTTTTTTACCACTCCTCAATGCATCGAATCCTTCAATTTCATATATATATATATATATATATACATTTATTTAATTTTAAACTTACTTTTTGTTTGTAATAAAAAAAAAAAATGACATTGTTTAACATAATAATGTTTATATAATTAATTTGATTGAATTAATTGTTATATTTATATTATTTAGATAGATAAGTAATATATAATTAAAATCAATAGGGAGTTAGATATATAGTTTTATGTTTATTTGAAATATTTGGATTATATTACTTTTTTGTATCCTCCACCAACAGGATCTACACCACAAGTGACATTCCCACCCGGTGCTGGCCACGACCGTTACGAGGAAACCTTCAATGGCCCAGCAACTTATGCAGAACCGTATGTTGAACGTTATGGGCTTAAAAGTGAGTTCAGTGGTCGAGAACCATTACATCCTACACCACCTCGGCCTGGTTACGTACCCACTTTAGGACAAACCCCACCATCCAGCACGCAAGGATCTGTAATGATGGTCTATGGGTTACAACCGGACAAGGTCAACACAGATAAATTATTCAATTTATTCTGTCTTTATGGAAATGTTACAAAGGTACGAACAAATATAACTTTTCAAAATCAACATTTATTTCATACTATCTCGTCAAAGGGAAAAAAAAATTTTTACTTTGTGTCTCATTATTCTTTGGGAATAAAATGTTAAAAATACGTGTATTTTTATTTTTATACGATGGGAAAACGTGTCTCCATGTTTATTCGTTTCAGTAATATTTTTTTCATAACCATGTTTGTGTTTAATTTTTTTTTTAAGTAACATCGAAGGATAACATTCAAGAATATAATACGTTTTCAAATTATTTTTTTTTCTCTTTCGTTTTCTCTTTTTCTTTTTATTTATGTTTACTAATATATCACAAAAATGGCGGAATTTTTGACGATCCTTTTTGGAATTCAGTCTGAGGCGGCGACTATTAGGATAAGATGTGCAGTTCAATAATCGGACTTGACGCATGCGTGATACACGTTATCCTGTCTCGCTTCGTATTCACGGAAATATCTTACATTTCCGTTATGTTTTAATAATGTTTCATAATATATCGGATCGATGATCTGATTCGAGATTTATACGTATACGTTTATTTATACATATATATATATATATATATATATATATGTATAACATTTGCAAATTTAGATAACACGAAGAAAATTGAAAATCAATATTGATACAATTTCAAGCTTCACCAATTCCATTCTACTTCTACTTTAAAATTTGTAAATGGTTTCCACTACTTTGTGATATGTCATTTTAATATTAATAAAAATTCACTTTTAACTACTTCGACAAAATTCAATTCGGTTTATTCGTCTGTAAAATATTCATGAAAGTTATAATATATGATAAATATTACTAAATGATTTACTTTTTTTTAATTTCATTTCATTTCGAAGTAATTCACTTTGATATAATTACATTTATATCTTTTTTTAATATATTTCTTTCAACGTATATATTTATATAACGAGTGGAAGTTTGATTAAATTTAAAGATAACAAAGGACACGTATGATTGCACGTTTAGGTAAAGTTTTTAAAAACAAAAGAGGGATGTGCCATGATACAAATGGGCGACAGTATAGCTGTGGAAAGATGTCTACAAAACTTAAACAATGTGACGATTGGTACGGACGGTAGACTGCAACTTGGATTTTCTAAACAAGCTTTTCTTTCGGACGTAACTAATCCATACATATTGCCAGACAAAACGGCTAGTTTTAAAGATTTTACAGGAAGCAAAAACAACAGGTAATTATATCACAATAATATCCTACATTATTATTTATACATTTTCACTTTTAATTTGAAAATTCTAATAATTTTTTTTCTTTTTTCTTCTTCTCAAATAAAACTTTGTTTGTTATTTCATTTGAAGGTTTTTAAATCCAGCGATGGCCAATAAGAACAGAATACAGCCACCTTCAAAGATAGTCCACTTTTTCAACACGCCACCAGATTTAACGGAGGAAACGGTTAATCGCGTTTTCGTTGAGCGTGGCATCGAGGCACCAACGACAGTGAAATTGTTTCCACTTAAATCAGAACGATCCTCTTCAGGCCTAATCGAGTTCAGTAGCGTCGGTATAGCAGTAGCTGCAATTATGGAATGTAACCATACAGCATTAGAAAATAGCAGTGAGTATATTAATAACATATATCACCTAGATTTTAATCTGCTTCGATAATTCTTAATACCATGACATCCGGTGACATTACATTGATGTTTCGTGAAGAAATTATTGGGAAAATACCGGTATCAGATTAAAGAATCTTGATCATATGTCAAGATTCATATGTCAAACTGGCTATGTTATCAACTAAATCCAACGATTTATTCGTTGCAGAAATTCGAGCCGAAATTTTAGTTTACTTATATCTAATCAGTATTGGAAGTAAGATCAATTTGATTTAATCCTTTGAACTCGGGCAACTTGTCCAACGTTGTTAAGCGTTATTATCTTGTATGTATTTTTCAAATTAGTTTTTAATACAAATTGAATAGAAAATATTGCCACTGTCCAAACGTGAGATAAGAGAGATCAAAGGGTTAATATTAAATAAATGACCTTTATACCGTGGCAAATATTCAAATAAATTTTAAAATGAATTTCCTTGCAGACGGCAAATTTCCTTACATCATGAAGCTGTGCTTTTCTTCCTCTCGCACTATACCCACCAGTTTCCCACCAAGCAGTGGCAGCGTTTCGAGCAATTCTGCCGGAAATGGCCACGTCAAAATGCAGCAGGACTCGGAATAGAACGGCGAGGTCCAGGGCCAGCAGCGTCAGCGCCAGCGCCAGCGCCCCTCTCTCGCCCTGCACCCGTTGTGTGCCCCCGTTGCGACGAGCACGGCCCTGCACCCAGCCACAGCGATCACCCTATCCCCGGTTTTGCCACCACCGCCGGTTCCTCCTCCTTTGCCACCTGCTTGTCTCCTAATAGCAACACCAACCTTATATCCAACTGTACCACCTCCCCCACCACCTCCTCTGCCGACCTTCTGGCCCTACTGAGAATCACTAAGGACGTCTCAGCTAGCTAGCTAGTTTACGGAAATCTAATCCGTGATGTTCTCGTTCTTGGAATCATCATCATAGTCATCTTCATCAGCTCGTAAGATGCCTACCCCTTCGGTAGTAGAAGCTTATTAAGTTCGATCGGGGACGAGATCAAAGCGGAACTTCGGACAGTAGGAGAAATAGGAGGATGAACAGGAGGATCAAGGGATGACAAGAAGGAGGAGGAGGAGGAGAGACAGTGTGAAAAGATCGGCGCGTGTCTACGGACGAACAAGGGGTAGCTGGTTGGTTGCATCATGAAAACAAACAAAAGGATAACGAGCAGACGCGTGTGTGTGTGTACGTGCGTACTTGTTGATACATAATCGGCGTACCGTAAAAGCCTCCTGTGTGTTGTTGATGTCTCCTCGAAGCCACGTTTGTTGTATTCTATCGATGATACATACATATAAATATGGATATACTTATGAATACATATATGTATATATATATATTTATATATGTATCTTCTACTGATGAAAATGTGGCCAGCTATACAGAAAAATTACAAGAAAAAAAAGAAAGAAAGAAAGAGAAGAAAAAAGACGAAACGAAATAATCCGGGAGGCCTGCACGCGGACCAAAAACCAAATTCAATCCAATTAATTTTATCTTTTTTTTTTTTTTGTCTTTTTCATTTTAATCTCAGTTTGAAATTTTCCCACTATTCCTTATATCATTTCTCTTATCATCGCTCGCGAATTACATATCAAAGAGGAAGCTAGGAGATGTAATATAGGATCGCGAGAAATAATGCGAAAAAAGACGCCGCGACGCTTCGTGTTGTTTAGGTTGTGCAGCGGCCCCTCACGATGGAACGTTTTATTCCTACGTTTCACATCGAAGAGTTAACGCAACATCATCAACAACAACGACGACCAGAACAACAACAACAACAACAACAACGTCTACTACAATAACAAGATATCTCGCACGCGTACTGTTTTAATTCATGACTCCTACACCATCATAACTAATACCACACCACCGTCACCACACCACCACCACCACCACCACCACCACCACCACCACCACCACTACTACCACCACCACACCACCACCAATCAACTCCTATCCATCGCCCACCGAAAGTTAACTGATTTTGCTGCTGAATAATCGTTCCTCAATGACCGTTACAAAATATTTATGGGATCCAATAAGTCCGAGATTAATTTCTCCCCCCCCGTTGACCACTGTGTAACAATGGGATACAATTATTAAATTGAACGTTTGAAAAAAGAAGGAAGTAAAGAATAAGAAATGTACGGATAATATAAAAGATAGGAAAAAAAGAAAGTGAGAGAAAGAAAAAATGAGAAAAAGAAAGAAAAAGTGCATATGAGTGTGCGTGTGCATTAGCAAGTTGATTGATTGATCGAATGAGTGGGATATGTGAATGATTAAATGAATGAGTGAGAAATAGGAAGAAAAAAAAGATATAACGAAACAGGAAGCCAAAGTAACTCATGTAACGCATGGTGTCGGTAAAAATTCGTTGCTAACGTCGTGCCAATACACAAAAGTCACGAGAATCTTCGTACCGCGAACATTACGTATATATTTATTTTTTTTTATTTTTATTTATATATATATATATATACATAATTACATATTATGTATAAATGTATATACATAATAATATATGCATATATATACATATATATATATGTATGCAATTTATCTAAAATTAAATAATAAAGTGAAGTCGCGTGTAGTCTAATAATTGTATCTTTATTCGTTCGTGTTTTATAAAGGACTGACCTTATTCTCTTTTGGACACTTGCGTATTTTTTTTTCTCATGATTCATTCTTTTTTAGAGTTTATCAGTCTCCTCTCCCTTAACGCGTATTTCAAAATCGTTGGAATTCTATCTATGTCTGGTTTACAAAACTTGTTCAATAAAGGAATAATTATTCCTAACCGTTTGCTTGGGTCATACCTTAGCGGGCCTGATATCGTCATGGCCCTATCCGATTAAGAACGTTTCCTCTTATTGCTAATACATGTATACGCATACACATACAAACACCATAAATGCATGCCATAACCCATAAATTCTTACAATAAAGAGAATAAAGAGCGATCAGTTCTCAATACGGACACATGTTCATTATACATAAGAATATTTTATTTCGATATGACTAAAAATGAATGATTTGAAAGTTATATTAATTTTTGCCATGTTAATTATTTCAATATTCTTTTACGGGGTTGTAAAAATATAATAACAGTGATGCTATATAGCCATACATATTGTTTCTGCTATTTCTTTTCTTTCTTTTTTTTTATTGAAATTTTATTTTTATATATTTCAATTCTTTT